GTTTCCTCTCTGTGATTTTTGACATGACTGGAAAAACCTCAGACATGACACTAGACTTATCACCCATTTCAATGGACTAAAATTTGAACAAAACCTGATTGGCAGAGGAAGACAGAGCAAAAATCACCCACTGAATGTCCAAACTGAGTCTGCACAGGTGCTTAGATGACTCAGGCGACCCTGACAGTGATTTTTGACAGTGGATCTGACCAGCACTGGCTGGGCGTGAGGTCTCCAACGAAGGAGAGATTCTCCAGAATTGTTCTCCTGCAACGTGCGACTCCACCCACGGTGGCGGTGACGTCAGGCGAGCACCCTTAGAGACAGCGTCAAAATGGCAGAAGCCCTTTTTTTTTTACAAATAATGAACCCTAATCCTAGAGCACACTGGCTCCGATTGGGCTAGGATGGGGTAGGGATAACTGGATTGGGCTATAAGACACTTGAGTTGAACAACATTAAAAGATTGAATCCAATCGATTAGTTAGTTCAACTCAAGGGCTTATATACCGGTTTATTTTCTCTTCAAGTTCCGATGTGGGATACTCTTTTAACACTCCCCCTCAAGTGGACAACCGGGCCATTTTGAATCTAACCGGTTGACTACTTGCAAATGGACTCCCATCCCTCGATATTTTTTTTTGAGCGCCAACACCTAAAGGACCACGAGCCGCTGGGTATGGACTTCCAGACGAGCAATCGTGTTAACCGGGCCACAGGCCGTTGGATACACACGCCATACGGACAACTGGGCTAGAGACTAACGGGCCGCTAGGAATGAACGTCTAGACGGACACCTTGACAAACGAGGTGGGCCAAAACCTGCTCTGATACCATGATAGAATTTAGGATGGGGTAGGGATAACTGGATGGGGCTATAAGACACTTGAGTTGAACAACATTAAAAGATTGAATCCAATCGATTAGTTAGTTCAACTCAAGGGCTTATATACCGGTTTATTTTCTCTTCAAGTTCCGATGTGGGATACTCTTTTAACAGTTGTGCTCAAGCTGGGGTCTCTTGGAAACAACCTCTCTACTTTCAAGTAGGGACAAGGTCTGTGTACACCCACCCACCCACCCCAGACCCTAGTTTCGTAGGTTCATACTGGGTTGTGGTTATTGTGTGGTTCATTCTTCAGCTACAGCCTACATGAACTTGAGTCTTGGATGACTATTAGATTTTCACCATCTACTCATTCAACAAAAGGGCAGATATTGTAAACCACATCCCTCATCCCCAACACTGAAAACATAGGAATACGAAGAATATAAACCACACGGAATCCTCAACACCATTGACCTGCATGAGTTATGTGCTCTAAATAGGGCATGGGACATATTATTTTTGTCTTATCTTATTTTTATGGTCTTTATAGTAACAGACAGTACAGACAGTTTTGGGTTAGACATTCCAAAATGCGGCTGTAACCGCAACGAGTTGGGACGCATGAGTTGTCCAGCTAGGTGCCTCTTCTACTAATCTAGACCGGACACAACAATGTGTGGGATCCACAGTTGGTTATTCTGCCCTGATTTTACCCTGCTTCCCTTGGAGGACCCACACCGTAGCTGCCCATGGGAGCCCGGCCCAGTTTTCTTGGTCCTTCGCTGCAAGCCATGATATCTGTCGCCTCTCCTGGTTACTACCGGACCGACATTTCCTCAGCTGTGCAAATGAAACTTGGTGTATGGACGCCCGAACGCATCGAGATAAATATTCACTTCATTTGCTAGAAAATTGTGCTTGGGCATGTCGGGGTATCCGTGTTCCTTATGCCTACTAGTATGTTGTCACTTTTACCAAATGATTGTGACACCAAGTCTTAGGCTTTCTGGTCTGCTTGCACCACAACCTCTTTTGCAACGGGGTGTGTTAGATGATAAATATTCTGTATATTGATTGTACTCCCTCCGTCCTAAAAAGATCTTCACTATTCAAAAATTACGGAAAGTTTTGTTTATTTGTGTGTTTTTATTGATTATTTGATAAAATAAAATGTTCTTGTCCCCTCTTTTTTGTAGAACTTTTGACATAGTGTTTAAATATGTTAGTTTTTTTTGTATTTCTAAACCAATCTTTAAATAAAATGAATTAAAAAAATTTTAAAATTTCGCTTCGTTCTGCGCAATGTGCAAAATATTTTGGGATGGAGGGAGTAGTAATTTATTTCTGTGTTTGGGTAGACAATGTGTATGGCTGTTACCTTTTTGGTACATAACTTTGTACCTATTTGATGACCAGAATACAAGCTGACACACAGGTTCAGTTGCATACTTTTCTACCCATAATACAGGTGAATTATGAGAGTAAAATATAAGCAATCTCACTCTTACGTGGCAACGGGGGGTGTTATCTTTGGAGTTCTTCAAAGTTCAAACACAGAGTTTGATATCTGGTTGACCATGTGTTTACTCATCTTTGGAGTTCTTCAAACACGTAATTTGATATCTGATTGACCATGAGTTCTGTTTTTCTTTGGCATGTCTGTTAGAGAACAAGTGCTGAAAATCTTAGAGGCTCGTAAATCAGCACTTGAAAAAGAACAGTGTATGGCCTTCGCGCGTGCTATAGCTGCTGGTTTTCATGTTGACGACATGCCTCTCTTGCTTTCCTTCGGAAAATGCTTTGGAGCTTCACGTTTGAGGTAAAAAAATGCAATAAACTCATTATTGTGTTGAATGATGGGAAAAGAAGAAAATGTTATCTCCTTAGGTATAGGAAATAGACCACTTCTCTTTAGCTCTTATTTATTCCGTCTAACAAGATGGAGGGAAATAATATTCGTAAACTTTCTTTCCTCTCCTAATCACTTCCAAACCAAAAAAGCAGAAATTTGGTTTCCTTATTTTTATGATTTCTTAGGTTTTCTCCCTCTCTCTCCCCCCTCATTCTAAATTATTTACTTCCTCCGTCCCAAAAAACTTTTTACACTTTTCTTTTTGGACCAAAAACGCTTCACCCTCATTTTATTTCTTTTTTAGTAATGAACATGAGGCTCACAAATCACAATATTTCTCTCATCTAAACAAATTCTAACCATACATTTTTTACTTTTTAACACTTTTCTTAAACTCTGCAAAAATCAAACTGTAAAACGTTTTTTGGGATGGAGGAAGTATTTGAGATTTGTGTTTCAGGGAGGCCTGCTTAAGATTCATGGAACTCTGGAAGAAAAAATCTGAGTTTGGAAAGCGACTTGAAATTGGAGCAGTAGAAGCAGTGGACAACAGCCTAAGATATTTATCTGATATGAATCCACCTGGTATTATGTTTTCTAATGTCTCTCATTCCAACATCGAGATGGCTTCAGAGAGTAATGAGAAGCTAATCACAGAGTGTACTGCAGGTAAAAATCAATCTCTTAGCCCATCTTGGTTTTCCTTTTGTTTCTTACAAAGTGAGTCTCTAATGTTCCTCGACTATCCCTGCTTATATCCTAGATATTTTGCCCTCAATGACTACAAGAGCAAGAATATTTACATGGGCCTTAGTTGCAAATTTATGAGGGGCCTGCCAAAGTGCACATTTCAGAGAAATCTTGTGTTAGTGTTAATTCTGCCGGTCCAACATGCATTGGTTAAACACACTACGATTTAGTGGTACCTAGAACTAAGGTCAAGCAATCAAGAGAGAACATTCTATAAATGCAAATCTGCGTGTATGAGATGCATGCAATGTGTACCTCTAACAGGGGGATACAAGCTCTATTTATAAATCAAGAGCCACCACTAAAAATACGTTTAGGGTTACTAACCTTCTCTATAAGGCATTGGAACCTTCTCTAGGGTTTGTAAATGTATTACAAGTTTACAACTATTACAGTTGTAGAGAACAATATAGTAACCCAACAATGCTGGTCTACCTTGGGTTTTGTGATGGGCCTTCGGCCTTCCACTGGGTCGGGTCATGTGAGCGTGCCGGATACACCATTGGCCGTGCTTCACATGTCTGCTAGACATGCCCGGTCCTATATTTGGTATGGGCTTATTGAGCCTGCTTAATATGCCATGAGCCAATTTGACATGTGGTGACTGGTGACCTTGGACCGAATCAGAGTGAAGATCTAAATCTAAACATTTCTAGACCAAAGACCGGACCTAAAAAAGTTTGGTCCTTGACTAGACCAATATGTACATTTCTCGCAATTCTACCACCATAATTACTTGTCTGTTAAACTGAAGAGACAAGTTTACATTTTGACTTTAGGGAGTTTAAAAAATGTTGAAAAGTGAAAAGTTGGTCGTTGGAATTTTTTAGAAGGTAAAGACATATTTTGAGCCATATATTCCTTTTCTAAAAGAGAAATGTCAGAAGTGTACAACTTATTTTGGGATAGACAAAAAAGGGAATGTGTAAACTTTATTGTGGGATGTAAAGAGTATGGAATATTAAAATTTCTTTCAAGCTGCCCATGAATAACTTGGTATTGTTGGTAGCCATGCAATTGTTGAGACAGTAAAACGATCCTCTGGTGAAGTGCTCCACAACTTTTTTAAGAGTAATCTACTAAATATAAGGGCACGTAATATGATAGGAACATGATGACATCATCATATTCAAGTGGCAATGGGGACACAAAAAAAAGAATACATAAGTTGCAAAAGCATATTAAACTAATGAAAATGATACTCTGTAGGAAGTACGGTTTTAGCTTGAATGTGATCTATGAATGAAGTGACAATTTATCAAGTTTTTTCTTTTTATCTATCCAGGTGAAATGCCTCATATGGATCATCATGTGCGAAAGGGCCAGCAAGAAAACCTTCAAGGCCAGTTTTCTTCCTGGTCAATGAAATCCCCTGTTCCTGCCCAACCTCTTTTGCAACCATACCATGTCCAAGAAGTGCCATACTATTCCACGTATTCACAAAATAACCATTTTTATCCACCTTACAGTGTGGAGGACCCTCAAATGGGTGTCATGCAGAGATTTAGACAAAAAAGACAATCAGCCTATGAGAAAAATAGCCAAACTGCAAGCTTTCTGGATAACTCAGTGTGGGATTATGAAAATCCACAGTATCAAAAGCAGATGAAGATAGAAGGATGGTCCAAAAATGGGCAGCCGAGAAAGATCGTCACTCAGAATATTGGTTACATCTCAAAAACAAATAGCTTCACCAGTAAGAATTCTGAATCAGCTTCTGAAGCTGAAAGCAATGTAGACACTGGGGATCTTCTTGACAGCTATCTCCAGCTGCAAAATGATGTTTCTCTGTCATCTAAAGCAAAAGGCAGCAATCCAAATTTATATGATAATCATGGGAAAGTTAATAAAGTTGAAATTGATGGTGGGCACTGGCTAGCATTTCAAAACATATTATTTGGAGAATCCCATGAAGATAATTGCTCTGAAAAAGATCACATCTTTGTAATGGAAAAAGGGCTAAGGAGACAGAACAGTCCTACTGGTGAATATCATACTGCTCTTGTTGATGATAATAGGGAGAGTGACATCCATGGAATCAGTATAGACCTGCCTTTCTGCATTCCCAGCATATCGAGTGATAAAGATTTACATTCTCACAGGAACTGGAGCAACGATATGGGGCCCAATGACCAATTGGACCTTTATTATGCTGAGACAAATGGAAAAAAGTCAATAAATACACTCCCTGAAAATGAACATCGGGCTGTGACTAATAAACTTGTGAAAACTTCCTCACAAAATATGGTTGATGAATCTTTTGTGGTAGTACCTATTAGGTCAATGCTTTTCAATGACACTGTACCAAAATATATAACTACCTTTGATATGGACTATGAGCTTCCTACAACTACTAGAAACACAGAAAACAACTCAAATGGAGTTAAAATCCAAACTGTTCATGAGCCTAGTGATCTCAGCCTGATGCCTAAACGTGAGATGGAAACAAGCTCTAGCGGTTACAATGCCACTGTAGACTATGAAATGCAAGCTCATTTTGAAGATGGTGCTTCATGGGAAGAATGGAAGAAAGAAAAGAAGGAAGCATCCACCATAATGAAAGAAATGCATAAGAAATTGGAGAAAGACCAGAGGGCAAAAGCTGATTTAGATAGCAAAAAGACTCTAGGAGCGATAAGAAGAGGAAAGGTAGCAAAGACAAGTCATGTAAATGGTGCACAAGTGCATGTCGAGAGCTTAAGATCCTTCAAAGCTGATATTGAGAAGATGAAAAAGGAAAAGGTGCATTTCTTGAAGGGGGCGGTTCATTGACATTGCCTGACAATGTCATGGGATGACCCGGGGACCGTACGATGCTCTGTTCGTAAAATTGACGGTTCCTACCCCTCATAGTCCCCCAGTAAACCCCCTGAACCCACCCCGCCCCGAACCCACCACCCCACACCCTTCAATTGCACCCCCAAGTTTAATTAACTTTGGAGTCAAAATTTTGACTCCAAAGTCGATTAAACTTGGGCGATGCAATTGGAGAGGGGTGAGGCGGTGGGTTCGGGGGCGGGGTGGGGGGATTTACGGGGAACCGTCAATTTTATGAACGGAGCATCGTACAGCCCTAGGGTTATCCCATGACATTGCTTAGCAATGTCCAGGGAACCAGGGTGTTCTTGCTACTCCGACACAACAATTGATTAGTAGTGGTCATGTTCCATGGTTGTCATGTTGCTATTTTAGTATCAATTATGCAATGAGCATGACTATACCAAATATCCCAACTCATCACTGTCTCATAAGATTATCTATGCATATGGAAAGAGTGAACTCTCTAAACAGTCCTTTATAATGCGGGGAGGGGGGGGGGGTCAAATATAGTCCTCTATTCCAAATTATTCTCTTCGTGCTCCTCTATATTTGTTCATGGTCCTCTATATTTGAGAACTATTCCATAATAAATTTTTTGTGTGGTTACATGTGGAAAAAAGTATTCTCTCTGTGGTCCTCTCTCTATTTGGGAACTTTTCCTCCAAAGGGACTTATTATGGAATAGCGGACTATGTTGGGAAGCCCCTTGTTATAAAGGACCATGTATAAAATTCACTCATATGTAAAATGACGTGTAACGGTGGCGGTCTTAGAATTTAAATCTCATTATTCCTTGTCATTAAACACACTATGCTTTTTGCAAGGATTTGTACTTTAGTAGTGTTAATTAGATTAATAAGATTAGCGGCACTATAAATTTAATTCCATATTGCCACCTAGCCCAACCAGTTGGGATTAAGGTGTTGATAGTTCATCAGTATTGAACATTATGAAGATAAGTGAGATTCTGACATGGCTAGGTTTAGAAGGAACTTTATAGTCATGAATCAACATCTAGAATCAGTCATTATTTTGGCATGGTTCTTCTTAATTATCCATTCTTCTTTGATGACACCTTCCCCAAGGCTCAAAGCTCTACCAATTTTTTTTACAGGAAGAGGCAGATATTAAACGTGTAGAAGCTTTAAAATCGGTAAGGCAAAAGAGAATTGCAGCAAGAGGCACCTTGAATTCTAGTCATTCAGTGGCACCCCAATCACAAAACAGAAGGGTTCCAACAAAAGTATCCCCCACCCCTGTCAGATGGTCAAAGTTCAGTGATTCAGAACCTGGATCATCATCACCGTTACAGAGATCCAAATTAAGAACTCCACTTATATCAACTAATTCACCCGAGGATTCAAAGTCGCATAAATTGAGTGAAGGGCTATTGAGAAATAATCTGTTAAAAAAATCAGCACCATCATGGGCTGATCCCACCAAAGAAAGCAATATTAGTGCGACACCTAATTCAAAAGCATCCATGGCAAGGCTTAGAAGGTTATCTGAGCCTAAAATTGTGAACTGGCCTGTTGCATCAGTCAAGGCACATAGTCCTGGGACAGTGTCAAAGGCGAAGATTCATAGTTCTGAAACAGTGATGAAACCAAATAAATCTGGACAACCTGAAAACAGAAAAATATCAGTAATCGTGGACCTTGATACAAGGAAGGGTGCAACTCTTCCTGAACTGAGAGATCTGAAAGGGCTTTCAGAAAATGTGAATGATTCCAGACCTCCATTAAATTCTGAGAATGTGAAATCATTCACTGATGATGAAAATTTTTCACGTGACTCTGACGGAGATGAAAATATTGTGGAGAAGAATGTTGTAATGCTTGAGTATGATAGTTCGTCCTTACCTGTTGCCCCATCTGAAGAAAATATTGGAGTATGTGACCAGCAGTATGACAGTCATGGCATACGGGAGAAAAGCTCACTAACATGTGAACATGCTTCCATAGATGCACCTCCTTCACCCTTTGTGGGATTTGTTAGGAATCCTATCCTTGGCTTGTCTAAGGGGCAACCTAATTCACCTGAGGTATTGCCGGTAAGTCTACTAGAATTTCCTTGAACTAGTTAATGCTCGTGGCACTAAATATTTGGAAGCATACTTGATTCAAATGAAATACTTGGAAGGTGGAAACGTTGGTCATTCAAGTGCATTTTAAAATTTTTTTCTTCTTTCACAAACGTTAGAAAATTATTCTTATAACTATTTGATTTTTAAAAAAAATCCCCAATTTCATACTAAAATATCTTGGTCTTTATTTTCGTTAATTATTTGTGCCTGTGTCGAGTCCTTGTATATTACTCTTCCGTCCCTATATGATGTTCCCACTTTTCTTTTTGGGTTATCTTAAAATAATGCTCTCATTGTTTTTAAAGAAAGAGTTGTTTGGTTCATATTATTCTCTTTCCTCTGCACAGGTTACAAATACATAGTTTTACCTTTCATAAATTCCATGCAAAAAGCAAATGAGAACATTAAATAGGGACAAAGGGAGTATATTCATTTGTCATTGGACTGATTTCAGTTTAAGTCCTTGGTATATTTCATGTTTAAAAAAGTAATACTCCATACTTATCTACGATAGAACTTGGGACTACTGATTATAACTTCAAGAAAGTGTAATTATTGTTGTTGAGTTGTTGCAAACAACTGATAGTAGCCTCCTATTTTTAAGGTATTGTTCTCCTATTTTGTGTGTACAAGTGCCTAAGAAATGTGCAAGTATTTATGTGCTATTAATAGAGGAAGAGTTTAGTGTTAGTCCTCATTTTCAACAGCTTGCTCTGCATTGACTCTTGGAATAGTACAAATAGAGGGTTTCTATTCATTAACATTATCTATTATTTGTTTTTGTGTGTTTAAGCAAGAGCAAGCATTAAAATTCATTTCTGTCAAGGGCATGAATTTCTCTATTTTCATAGCTTTTCATTCAGTTTATCATCTAGTCAAGTTTTAAAACCGAAGTTGGAAAATTGGTGCTAACAAGATACTGTCAATAAGTACTCTCTTTATAGCAGAGATGCATCCTAATCCTGGCTTAGTGCTACATTGCATTTGCACACTTGTAGAGTACTACACTTGTGCATAAATATAACCCATCAATTTTTCATCTGATGAGGTCTATAACTGGAACTAGTTCTTTTCATCTGGTAATCTGGTGTAATTCACATTCCTCATAATAATTATCACACATAACCCTTGAAATCATATTATTATTATAAGGAATAACTTAGTGCTAGCCACTAGGGAGAGATCTTGACTTTTTCAAATGTAGTGCGTCTATGATAAGTTAAAAGAAGCTCACTTGTCTGATACTTACTATTCATGTATGATGACTTGATAAGCAACAGTCATGTTATCTTGGGGGGGGGNTTCTTGGTGATATTAGCCCAAATACCAGTTCAAGGTTTGGGTTATACTCATTTGTTTGTTTTCAAGAATTCATGTACTTGGGACAAGAAAGATGGGAGGAAAAATCCCCGATGAATCTATAACAGTACTAAGTCATGTTTTCACTCATTTGTTTTGTGAAGAATACATGCACCAAATACATGTTCACTGCATGGAAGAGCATTGACAAAGATAATTAGTTCTCAGCATGTATCATTATCAAGGTTCTTTTCGTCCAACTTCTAAGGTTTTTCTTATTCTGCTATTAGGTTGGAACAAGTTATGCATATGAGACATCCAAATTTGCAAATACTGACCCTGGTGGAAAACCTTATGAAGCTTCTCAGGCTCATATCACCTCTTTAGAAGAACCTTGTACTGTAAACTTACAGTATCACAAAGCACCACTAGCAATCAAAGACTTGGGATCGGAAGAGCCAGTTAAAGCACACGTCGAAGATGTTACAGCGGTTGGAGAGTATGAACTTCGAGATTCTTCTGCAAAGGTTCAAGTTAAGGAGTCACTAAGAGGCATCCGGCGGCTCTGGAAGTTTGGTAAGAAGAATCAATCTGGCAGTGAATGTGATAAAACTCTTGAACCAGACCAAAAAAGTTTTCATGGGCTAAAGCAGGATGTTCATGCAGCATGTACTACTTCATTAAGTGAAGGTAATGTCACTAATGTGAAGTTGACCAAAATATTCTGTCTATCCGGAACTAGTGAAACATATTCTCTTTGTGTTTTTTAGCATTCTTGAGTGTCAGTGCGTGTGATATTCTTAACCAAATAGCCAACCTCTTAGGTAATCTATAGTTCTCAAAAGAAGATTCCAAATTCTCTTTTAAGTAATTGTTTTATTGAAGTGTGCTCAGCTTTTAGTTGGTATTGCCAGGTCAAGCTAGTCTGTTTCCTCTACAAGAGAGATCGTGTATCTTGTCTTTCTGATACCATACAAACCTAATATGCTGCACAAGAATCACTAAGTGTATGACATTGAGAATTAATCTCATATTTGAGATTTTATTATGAGTTATTACATTGACATGAACCCCATTCACAAAAGAGTGTGTATAATAAGATTCCCTTAATTGGAATTCATTGCAGTTGAGAAATTGCTTTTATAGTATCAATGCAGAGTGGTACATGAAGTTTTTTTCAGAACAGATTATAAAATTTGATAATCTTATTTTTTGTCCATCAAAAGACCATATCTCCCTCTAGCACGGAGATGTACAATTGAGGGCTAAAAGAATTAAGAAGCATGGTGGGTTTTAAAGGATACTTTTCCAAGTGAACTCTACTTTTTCAACAAAGCAAAAAATAATGAATGCAAACCAGATGCGATGGAACAGGTACTCAGTTTCCATTCTGAAAACTTTTTTATGTTCAAATATGTATTTATAACTGAAAAGTTGGAAACCTAATTGGGACAAAATGCATGGTTTACCATGCTAGTCTATGTTAGGCAGATGAGGTCACTTCACTCACTTGCTTACAATGTCACTTAAGCTCATGTGTAACCTTGATCTTTCAGTTTATACTTTGAAGAGTTTGATGTCACAAGATGAAACCTCAGCCAGTGATAATGATGTTCAGAAGAGTGAGCACAAGTGCTGCACCTGCTTATCATGTACGGAGTAATTACTTTGAACTCAATTGAAATTACTGATACTTAAACTGTTGCATTACAGCTCACAATTTTTCTTTGTGGTCTCTTTTCTGGAGTAGGACAAGGAAAAGAAGCTGTTATTCAAAAAAACTGACATCATAAAACAATGGTTCACTCAAGTAAGTCATTTTGTTAATTGTATGTTGTTGAGCTTAATAAACTCCACTGCAGGTTAAAATGCAATGCTTTCTCAGCTTTTATGCAAGCACTTGTGAATAGATTGGAGTTTTGAAACTTTTTTTGTGCATGATGAAATGTTTTTTTGGGTGATGGGGAATGGGGATAGGGTGTGGATGCATTTGAGTCTTCACAAATTGATTGCAACATATGCTTCGAGTCTGTTGTTCTGGCCAATATATGAATCCCCTGGAAACTCCATTTGCATGAAAGGGGACGGGCCCGGCCTATTATCAAGCAGTCATCTTCTTCTTTCTGAGCATTTCTTTTTTTAACGAATGATACTTCGCATGCAGCTTCAGTCAAACCGAATAATCAAACACGCAATCTTGCTTCTGCTCATCCTGGTTGAAGCCTCCTTTGCTAAACATTCAGCTGCTTCTTTTGGGTCCTCTATGTGTCTGATCAGGTTCACTGCCTCTTGCTCCTTCATAACCTTTAAACAACACAAAAAGCACTCACACCATTTCTTTCTGTGATGGGAACTTTTGACAAATCACCCAATTTAGGAATATGTACAATTTCTTGAGGGAGAAGATCATTAACAGGAAATTTACCTCCCACACACCACTACTAGCTAGGATCACAAGCTCTGTGTTGCCGTCTATTCTTTCTGACATGACAGCAAGTTCCGAGCTTCTAGAATCCTCAAGAAACCTATCAGCATTTCTTGTAGCATCAGGTGCAGCTCCATGCATTCTTGGATTCCTTACTGCTCCTGAAAAAATAAAATCAACAGATCAGTTCAAATGTTGAAAGATCATGGCTGCCAACCAGAGAGAGAGACAGAGAGGCGAAATTGGTGATTTCATCATGCCTGGAAACAATTTACAGGACCAACAGTTCTTGTGTCGGCGTGTCCCAACCGGGAAGGCCACGCCGTCATTGCAAATAACAGCTTTATAGTCGCCCATGTTTGCGATTACAAGCCTCTCTCCATTCATCACAATTGCAGATGCTGAACCGAGATGGCGGTGCCGCTCCTTCTCTGGCGTCTCTGTTTCCATCGTGATCTTCGTTCTTGCCTTGAGGTGTGCCTTTTTCATTGTCTCCTTGCTCTTCAACCTCATTTGTGACTTCAGAAAAAAATAGACAAAAGAATGAGCTATATTATAGTATAGACTATAGATAGCATCATACTAAAGGGTACAATTTTCACTCTTGGGGTGTGTGTAGTGGTGTGTGTGTGTGGGGGGGTGCAATTCTAATATAGACAGAATGACATGCATTTTATTGGATAATGAAAAAAATATGTACTCCCTCCATTTGTTTTTAACTATTCAATTCACTTTTGTGTTGAATGTTTGACTAATAATATCTCATAAAATATTTTCACAAAAAATATTCAAATTGATGCATTAAAAATGCTTTTTATACTAATATTATGGTGTAAATTTTATATTTTAATTCATTTTTATTTTTTATACTTATAGTTACTAGTTAGTCAAATATTCAACACAAATCCAACACTTAAAAAGGTAAAAAAGAATGGAGGGAATAGATAATTTTTAAATTAGAGTATATGTCTAGATATACAGTGTTTTACTGCACAAAAGTAATGCAATCTTCATTCACACATTTTTTGCGCATGGTTCAAATTATAAAATTGATGGAGAATTGGAGACACATTTAATAATTTTCTAAAAGAATTATTCATATCATTGCTAATAACACTACCAATTTTTGAAATGATAAAAATGGAAACTTGATAAAATTGAAAAAAAAACATTTTTTTGCATATGCTCAAAACATGATTACATTATAATTTTAGATTTTTAGAATATGAACAATTAAGAGTTATTGGGTGCACATGAAAACATATAGGATCTATGGTATAATTTGCCAATGCAGGTGTTCATATAATCATATACTCCGTATATAATTTCCATCAAAAAATTTATTCTCTGTATTTTGAGGTATAATAACCATAAAATTACTTACGGGTGATGCGAGTTTTGTCAAAATAACTCTCAGGTCTCTCTATTTTCAAGAAGACAACTGAAGTCCTTATATTTTGTTGTAATGACTTGGAGGGGACATTTCATCCAATATTTCATCCATAAGTGTTAATAAATGTATTTTTTTCCTATTTTTCCATTACCGTTTTTTCTTATTTTGCCATTACTCGGTTTTTTCTTTTTTAGAAAATATTTTATTTCATTTATTTTAATATAATACAAACAATTTTGAATTTTTATCCGATTTTATAGAAGAAATTCTAAAATAACACTTTAAAAAAGAGTAACAAAAAAAAAGAAAAATAAAGAAATAAAAAAAGGAGCGACCTAAGATTTATTACCTTAAAATATTTAGAAAAAAAAGGAAAAAAATACATTTATTTACGTTTATGGATGAAATATTGGGTGGAATGTCCCCTCCCAGTCATTACAACAAAATGTAAGGACTTCCGTTGTCTTCTTGAAAATAGAAGGATCTGAGAGTTATTTCGACAAAATCTGCATCACCCTTGAGTAATTTTCTGGTATAATAACAGCATTCGCCATTAGTTTTAATTTCACATTCAGATGATAAATTATATTTTCATTTAATACAGATTGTCGTTTTTTGTTTGATAAAATAAAATAGAAGTCACCATTCATTTGAAATTTTAAATATGTACTCCGTAATTTTTTTTTAATTTTATGTTTATTTTAAATATATAAACTTGAAGTTTTTTAGCACATATTAAATTGAAATTAACCTCAGTGAAATTTCTTGAATAAAATGGGAAATTCGTCTTTAGAAGGGAAAAAAAGTATTACCAGTAGTGTTTGGTCCATATTTGATTACTATGTCATTAATCAGATTTGAGTAATTGAGTAGGTTAAAGCAGGTATACCTAAATCCCAAGAAAATGCAATATATAATCAAATAAATCGTGTAATTATATAAGAAATCACTATAAATAAGAATAAAATATAGCAACTATTTCCAAAATCGAAATAACATGTTTTAATCACAGTATAGAATTGTTATTGCATTGTGGGAAAAAATGTAATACTATTTGTTGGCATTTCACAATGTTTTTGGATATCATATGTTAGTATGTTACTCTGTAGTATTATTGCTATTACAAATCTTATTTTAGAATAAAACCATTAAAATTTTAGTTTAATTATTTTCTATGTTCTAGTCTTCCAATATAAGTCTATCTCCCATATTAGCTGGATTGTTATAAACAGGAATTAATATGTTTGAAGATAATGAAATATACACGTACTATAAAATATTTGCAAATAAAGAAATTTGGCCAATGGGGGTCACAAGGAATTTTTTTTACCTCTTTAAGCTTTCCATTGAACAAATGGTCTTGTAAATACTCCGTGACGCCTGCACCAATCCTAGCGTGCAAAACTCCATAAAACCACCACTCACACTCCTCCACCTCCTCCCGTTGCACCACCACCTCCGCCTCGTCCTCCGCCCATCCGCCGGCGGTCGGAGACCTTCCCTCCACCGCATGGTACCCGTGCGACACCGGCGTCAACCATGAAGGCCTCTTTTTACCAGTAGTAGTGTTATTATTCCCGGCCTTGCCTTTCTTCTTTCTTGGACCGCCGCCATCTCTCTTGAGGAATCTCCCCAGCCCTAAACTCTGCCCACATCAATAAAAGTGTTCTAATACTTGGAATCTCACTCTTTGTCCTCATTTTTTTATATCCTTTCCTCCCCCAAAACCTTTTTACTTTTTTTTTCATATGTCTCAAAAAATACTTCTTATTTCTATTAAAAAGTCACTTTTACTTTTTAAATTTTCATATCCTACCTATCACATCATACCTTTTTACTAATTATCTACTCATCAAATCTTAATTTTACCTATCATATCAAAAGACTTTTTTGGAAATTCAATACCAAAATGCATTTCCCTTAAATCTCTTAAAAATTAATAACTCTCATGTTTTTTAGGACCGGAGGGAGTATGAAACTACTATAGAATCAAAAATAAGAAGACTTAAATGCAAATATTTGTGTAAAATGATGGATAAACGTAACCTTATGCTATAGAACATGGATCTAAATATTTTGAGAAGGGGGGGGGGGGTGAGGGGTGGGTAACATAACATACCTTGACTAGCGTGAGATGAAAATCTTTGAACCCCATTTCAAGCTTCTGGCTGATATGAACACTTGATGACCGAATAGCAAAGCAAAAGAAAGAAAAAAAACGTAACTCTTTTAAAAATGATATGGAGTAATTGGTTTTAGTCTATAGTCCCTATTAATTACGAAATTAATATTCCATTGAACTAAGTTCATGAAACGGTTGAAATATTGGTAGTCCTCATTCATGAATGTGTAATTGAATGCAAGCAATTTGGATTTTGTGAGACCATTCGAGAAAGTTTGGATTCATGGAGAAAAAGATTACAAAATTTATTAATTTACTATATCGAGTTTAAATTTTTTTTTTTTTTTTAAACAAAATTTATATTTTTTTATTTATACTAATATGAACCGGATAGTTGGGAAGTTTACCTAAGTTCAAATTGCATGATATTCCACTCCGGTCAAATTGTAAGATTCTCTTTCCTATTGGCCCTCCTGACTCACCTGGCTCATTTGAATCCAAGTCCTAAAGATGGCAACAACTTGGGTTTTGTTTCAGGTGGAGCTTCACCCTCATCCATTCATGGACTTTAGCCATATTTATCACCCGATCCATCTATATTCTGTTACATACATCACTTATCACTCGATTCATCCGTCACTCACGAATGATACGGGTGAAAACGAGTGATATAAAATAAACAATACGGAGTGGTTTTTAATCATTGATCTCGTGAAGAAAAAAACTTTTGAAGCATGTGACACCAAAAGAATCTTAGGAAAATAAGAGATTAATGATGTTTACGATAAAATCCTGCAAAAAAATCTTTTTAAGTTACAAACTTAATTTTTATAAAATGGAGCATTTGAAACAGGGCCGGCCCAATAGGGGACAAACAGTCCATTCCGGACCGGGCCCATTGTTTTAAGGTCCCATATCTATATATATGTATATAAGTAGCCTAGCAGTCCAGCACCTAGCCCAAGTTAAAGGCCCATCTTTTAATCGTCCATTTCTTCTTCTAAGCCTTTTACTTCGTACGAAGGCCGTAGAAAGTAAGTCGCAGAGAGCTAGAGACGCAGACGCAGAAGCTCGCACGCAAATCGATCGGAAAATTCTGAGTGCCGGTAGAGACACCGCCGCCGCCGCTAGACGCCGCCGACCCTCCAGGTATTCCGCATTCACTACTCACAAGCTTTCCAATTTTGTAACTCTTTTTCTTTCTTTAATAGTTTCATTCTTTGTATTTAAAATCTAGGTTTAATTATTAGTTTTTAATTTGAAATCTTTGCTAATTGCTATGAAATAGAATGAATTAATGGTTCTATATGTTCTTTATTTGGTTTGGATGAATTGATTTGAAATAAAATGAATTTATGATATATATATATAATCTATAAAAAAATTGAAAAACAAAAAAAAATGAAAACTGAAATACAAAAAAACTGAAAAATTGACGCATTGATATGAATTTACGACACATATAAAAAAAATATGAAAACTGAAAAAGGAAAAAAATAACTGAAAAATTGACGAATTGATATGAATTTATGATATATGAATTTATTTCCTTGTTTTTTCATATTTATGTATTTATAATACTATGATGTTTCCATTTATTTTTTCTTCTAATAATATTGTGTTAGCTATCATTTAAATATAATTGATTTACATATGTTAATTTGTTACACCATTAGGGATAAGATTTTTAGGGCATTTTTTCTGTTTCGGCCCAGGCCGATGAATTCTCAGGAACGGCCCTGATTTGAAACTGAAACAAATTTATGTACACAACAAAGGAAATATTTTTTGTTTTAATTATTTTTAAAGTAAATATATGAATGTTTCATGTGATGGATCAAGTGACAGGTGAGAAACATCTTCACCCGTATCTAACCTGATGCATCATTAGTCCATCTATCACCTGTCCATCGATTGTCCTTTTTTGGAATTTTGTCCATGAAAACGAGTTTAGTGGATCGGTTATCAATCGGATCAGGTATGAATGGTCATCCCTACCAAGACCTTAGCAATAATATACTCCCTCTATCCAGAAAAGATCTTTTCATTTGATTTTTCTTGATTAAAGTTTGTAAACTTTAGCTTCGATATAGAGAAAAAATACATTGTGTTTTAGTATAATGTAACATCAATTGTTACGTTTTGAAACATAGATTAAAAATATAATTTTTTATATAAATAATATATATATATATATACATATATACATATATATATATAGGGGCCGGTTCACGTGAGAATGCACCTTGGTGAAAAAAATAAGAATAAAATCTAGCCTTTGGATCTGATGCATCGTGCGGCTCAGATTGCATTTTCAAAGGATTTTGGTGCATTTCAACATGACGCATTTTCAAACAATTTTGGTGCACCTAATTTTGATGCAATCCTGACCCTTAGATCTCATAATCTAAAGCACGAGATTCATTCTTATTTCTTTTATAAGCTCGCATTCTCACCAGAACCTCTATATATATATATATATATATATATATATATATATATTAATGGTCAAAGTGTACATTAGATATTGTGAAAAATCAAATGAGAATATCATTTCTGGACGGAGGTAGTATATAGTTTCTATGATGAGTTGTGTGAATTAAAAAAAAACTTCCAACTATTTGTAAAAGTGAACATGTTGTTGTGGTGCAATGATTTTATTTTTTAAAATAATTCAATTTAAAAATAAAAAGAATTTATTTTCTACTCCGTATATTAAAATAATGAATTATTTGTATCTAAAAACATTATCAGTTAAAAAATAGAAAGTGTAAAAAATAAAGAAATATATGAACAATGAGATCAGAAAGTAGATGGAGAAGAGAAATCACACAAATTTAAATAATTTTAGAGTAAATTTTATAAGATACCGGTTCCCATGACATTGGGAATCAATGTCATGGGATGACTCGGGGGTGCTCCGGTGCTCCATTCGTAAATTTGACGGTTTCTACCTCCCCTAATCCCCCGGTAAATCTCACCCCACCCCGACCTGAACACGCCCCCCACCCCCTTCAATTGCACCCCCAAGTTAATTTTGACTTTGGAGTCAAATTTTGACTCCAAAGTCAAAATTAACTTGGGGGGTGCAATTGAAGGGGGTGGGGGGGGGGGGCGTGTTCGGGTCGGGGCAGGGATGGAGGGTTTACCAAGGGGTTAGGGGGGTAGGAACCGTCAATTTTACGAACGGGGCACCGGAGCACCCCCGGATAATCCCATGACATTGGTTCCCAATGTCACCATGGCATTGGTTCCCAATGTCATGGGAACCAAAGTGATTTTATAATTAGTCCTTTATAACATGGTTTTTTCATATCCACTTCATTTAGTCATCTATTATCATTATATCTGTGGTCCTTCGTTTATGTACACCTTTCTACAAATATCTTTTTTTTTAATCTTTTTCCATGTTGATGTTAAATTGAGAGCTAAAAATATAAATTTATAATAACCATATATCCTGCTTGCCAAGACCGGCCCATAAGGAGGACATGCAGCCCGTTTAGACCGGCCCCTCTATTATCAAATTTTTTCATCAATTTAACGCCTATAAGACAAAAGGTCAAAAAAAGTCCGCGTAGAAAGATATCCACAAAAGAAGAAGCACAGCCGCACAGATGTAATATTTGATAATAGAAGAGTAGATATGAAAAACATTCTATTAAAAAAATTAATTATAGAATTTATTCATAATTTTATTAACTAAAAATATTTATATTAATATGGTGTGAAAGTTTTTATATTAACTAAAAATATTTATATTTTATATTAATATTGGTGTGAAAGTTTTTTTATTAACTAAAAATATTCATATTAATGTGGTCTGGTCCGGTTTTGAGAAGATTGCCCTCTAATCTCACAGCTGCCCAATTCTAAACTCTAAATTGTAGAAACATAGCCGGAAGATGGCCGGGAGCTTGATTCGCAGAGCCACCCACGACGCAGAGAACCCACTAGAAGCTTCTCTCAGGGAAGCTTTCAACCACCAACAAGGTAATCTACGGCCTCCCTTTTCTCTCAAATCACTCGCCCAAGAACAGTACCCTCGCCTTAATGATGCCATCCTGTTCGGCATTTTGCTCGAACCACGTTCTGCTAAAACCCGCATTAAGCTCTTGCACGCAATAATCTCTGATGGGTATTGCCATTTCACGTCTATGGTGACTAGAATTGTCGATGAATTGTACAGTAAACTCGTAGATTCTGCAAAAATTCAGCTAATCTGGGTGACCCGTGAAATGGTGGATGTGGTTTCTGCTGGTTTTGACGGGTTGTTGGTAGCTCTTCTCAGACAGATTCTAGGAGGGGATTTCAGCCAAGGTAATTTGTGGTTGTGTTCCGAGATGGTTGGCATTTTTCTACAAAAATGGGATCGTTTAGTAGAAGAAAATCCCTTGATTTTAACCTATGGTTTGTATGTGTTTCTTAGAATATTGGCTGATCACGGTAGCCTATTGGGCGATTCTAGACTGTGTATGCTGAAGAAATTGGAGACAGAGTTTTGCATTCGGGTCTTGAGGGAACGCTTTGACCTGTGTTTGAAGATAGGGAGGGATCTTGTGAGGCTTTTGCAAGATTTGGTCCACATAGCTGAGTTTAAGTCCATATGGAAAGACTTGTTGTTCAATCCAGGAGAGTTTAGGGTCAATGATTTCAAGTCCATAGTGAAAATCTATCGCCTAAAGACTCCAAGTTTGTATTTTTCACTTAGAATAACACCCGAGATGGAGAGAAACTTGAGATTTTTGCTCACAAATGTTAAGTTTGGGAATCAGAAACGGTACCAGGCGTGGTTTGTGAAAAAGTTTCTCTCTTGTTCTGAGAGGGAGACGCTTTTGGTAGACATTGTGAGGTTTATCTGCTGCACATGCCGTTCCTCTAGTGAAGGTGCTGATATATTGCCGAGATGGGCTGTGATCGGTTGGTTGTTGATGTCATGTAGGAAAAGCTACATTGAGGCAAACTTCAAGCTTGCTTTGTTTTACGATTGGCTGTTTTTTTGCGAAGAGGGAGATGATGTCATGAGGGCGGAGCCCGCAATTCTGCTGATGGCGAACTCCATACCAAAATACAGTGATATTACCAATGCCCTTCTTGAGTTTCTATTGATTTTGATTGACAATTATGATGCAGAGAGGAAAGATGTGATTGTCAGTGGGGTATTGAGTGTGTTTCATGCTCTTCTTATGAAGGGCGTTATTGACTCGCTCGATGTGTTGGCTCACTCTGACGCACTCTCTCCCGTGCTGAGAGAAATGCTCAGAAAATTGTTATCTTTCACGGAAACTTCCCATACAAAAGAGTTGCAGTAAACCAATCTTCAAGAAAATATTGTACCGCCATCTATATGCGGGCATCATTGATTACGAGAGCATAATGGAAAAAAGTCTTCTACACTATGCCGCTTTGGGAAACTTCTTGCTATGCTGCAAAGTATAAGGAGAATATGTTTGTATTTGAGGTGAGACATTCTTTGTTTTGTTTGCATTTAACTGTAAATTCCTTCAAGGCACATTTTACTTGACTCTGAAATATATGGAAGGTGATGATATTAATTCTGAACTTAGCAGTAAATGTATAGGCTTCTTCATGTCTTTTGCAGGTTGACATTCAAGAATTTTGCCTCAAGTCAATGGATTGCCGTGGCCATTGTCTAATCGTTTTATTATAGACCCAATTCCTACATATGTAAGGTAATTCCTACATAGGTAAGGTGGATCTGTCATAGAAGTAGAGAGTCATCTCTTCGTTGTATGATAAATGAGCTTGATATTACGTTTGCTGATTTTTTTCCTGGTGAGAGTGTTGACGATTGGAGCGAGGGCAAAGAGTTTCTTTTTTTCTCCTTTTGGGTCATTCTCTGCTTCTCTATTGCTTTTCATGCTCTCGATCTCTAGAAAAAAATAAAGACAAATGCAACCTTTATGTTCTTTGATCGCGCACATGAATTTTTTTGGAAGAGAGAGAGAGATAGTGATTTTTTTAGAGAGAGGGATAATGATTTTTTTGGAGAGAAAGAGAGGGATAATGGACGGCGGATGTTAGGCACGCTCGTTGATATCGGTCAGTGACGCCATGTTGTCCGGCGGTCAACCGCCGTGAACAAAGACCGGCGATGTGCTCGGTCTAAAAAAAGAGTAGATTTTTAAAAATCTTAGCTCCAATATCATAATACAATTTGAGAATTGATATTATTGAAGTATCAAAACCTACCATTAGGATGCAAAAGAACTCCACACACTTAAAAAAAATCCACACCAATGTGAATGGTCTAAAGTCGATCATATCAAAGAAGCACTCGACGGATACATAAAATGGAGTGATGATTCTATGGTTCTAAGATTCACATTTAAAATGTAGATCTTCTCACATTTTTGATGAGCTTACACGTGTATATTTTCTTTTTTGCAATGGCCCACTTCTTTTATGCTCTAAATACACTAAGATCCATAAAATGGGCATTGACCTTAGATCCACGGAAGAATTTGCCAAAACGATGTACTTTTGGAGATTATGTTTGATTTTTGGTTCAATTTTTTTTACATTCGGTAGCCGTTTTTTAAGTTCGATTCGATGATTTCAATTCAGTTTGCGGTTTGGGTTTTCGGAACCCATCACTAGCTACTCGTAGGAAGAAGAGAGAACAAATCACTAGCACCATTTGTAGAGATACATACACAAACGAAATAACAGAAAACACTCATCAATACCTCGATTATCTTATTTATCTATCAATAATCTGTGTGTCTATCCAAACATAAATTTTGGCTTGTTGAAATAAGAAGAAAAAATACACACACACACATATAAATATAATAACCTTTGAGACAAATTTCGCATGTGAGGAAATTTAGACGGATGAAGAGCGTTGTGCATTGTGGGAGTAAAGCCAGGCGAAAAAAGGGTGAAGGAGGAAGATACATATTCCTCCAATGACAAAGACAATTTTGTTTGCTGCAAGAAATATAGCCATTCCTACCACCGGAAAAATCCTGCATATACATATACATGCATGATCAAATCCATATTAGTTGGTGGTTTTTATAGTGTCGAATGGATCATGACTGTCTGAAAATGCACATTCTTATATTCTCAATGTAAGAATATTCTCATCTGAACCAATACATACATACATACATATATACTCCCTCCGTTCCATTAAATCATTCCCATTTTGAGTTTGGGCCAAAATAAGGAAAGTATAATTTTGGTTGATTTTCCAATTTTGTCCCTGATGTGATCGGTAAAAGTAAGATGTGATAGTTTGGTTACTAGTGAAAAAGTATGATGTAATTGATAAGCTATGAAAAAGTAGAGACAAAGTGGTTTTTTAATTGAAAGTGGAATTGAAGTGTTTTATGAAATTAGAAAAAAAATGAATGAAGAATGCTCTAATGGAACCGAGAAAGTATATACCATTGCCTCGAGTATGGAGTATATAAAAGGAGAATTTACGTACAAAACACTAAAACATAATGACCTTTTCTAAATAGCATCACATGCGTTTTTTCCCCAATGTAGCACTTTTAGTCATTATCCATTAGTCATTATTCAAGTAAATATTCACCATCACTGGACATTATTATTCAAGTAAATATTCACCATCACTGGACATTATGGACATTATTGAGTGTTATTTAGGAAATAAAAAAGTTTAAGTGTTATTTAGAAAAATGACTTAGGGGCTGTTTGTTTCGGCCTCTTAATGGTTCAGATGTCTGAATGGTTCAGCACTTAATGGTTCAGACTGTTTGTTTCAGCCTCTTAATGGTTCAGATGTCTGAATGGTTAAGAGATTTGTCTCTGAATGGTTAAGTATTCTACAGAGTCTGAATGGTTAAGACCTCTTATCTGAATTGATCAGACATTTGCCTCTGAATAGTTAAGCAATATACTAGCTCTTAATGGTTCAGACCTCTTACTGGTTCAGCACTTAATGGTTCAGACCTCTTACTGGTTCAGCATGTTGGGATTCCTCCAAGTCCCACACCGGAGGGAGAAGTAAAAATGGACCAAAATATATAGGTTCACCCAACCCCATTAGTATGAGGCCTTTTGGGAGGTGCCTAAAAACAAATCCGTGAGGGCTTGACCCAGAGCGGACAATATCATACTAATGCGGGGTTGGGTGAGGGCACGCGCAGTCCCAACAATTGGTATCAGAGCCCAGGTTCTTGCGGGCGTGAGTAGACAGAGAGAAAAAAAAGGGGTGAAACCGAGAGAAGGAAGAAGGGAGAAAAAGAGAGGTGCAGCCTGGTTTTGTGCTCCGATCGACGACCAAACGAGCTCCGATCGGGATGAAATTTTAGTATGTTGTTCCTCACATCCTCTTCTTCATATCCAACGGTGGGATTGTTGTTTTGACCTCTCGAAGTTGGTAAAACTGCCTTTGTTTCTCTGCTGCGTTTTTGTATGATTTTCTCACTTTTGAGTGAAGATTATTGTTGTTTGGTGTTCCAAGTTGTTACTTGATGATTGTGTATACCTCTAATTGATTTAGAGAGGATTCTTGGTGTACCCACTGATTTTCTTGGTGATTAGTGGAAGGCTTCGTGGTTTTTTCCCCGATTTGGGGTTTCCACGTTAAATCTTGGTGTTCGTTTATCGCTTGATTGATTGCTTGTTGTTGTGTTTGCTATTCTTGATCGGTCATATGATTTTGCCCATTTTGACAACACAAAGACGGGAAAATTATTTATTGCTTCCGTTAGAAAATTGAGGTGATTTTCCCAACACAGCACTTACCCATTCAGAAGTTGCCAAACAGCCCTTTAAGCTTTAGTTCTATTTAGTGCAAATATTTCTATATAAAATCACAATTTGAATTTTTTTTTTTTTTTGCTTAAAAATGTGCAAGATTCAGAGCACAAATTAATAGTGTAGAATGATAGAAAAATGAGTGGTCACCATGTCACTAAATAAGACATAACATCAGTCCTGCAGCAATTGATGCCCACAGAGCCATTCTTATTGTAACCAGCTACAAAGCATCCATGCAATACAACGACCACTTGAGCCAACAAGAAACAGCACATTCCAACCAGCCAGAGCCCTAAATTAGAGTGACGGCCTGCCTGTATTTTTTTTCTTCTTTTGTTATAATTATCCTTTGATCATAGTATATAACTCCAACGTAATATATTGTAGTAATGACCAAAATGTTACATTAGGAATCGTGCAAAAATCATTGAAGCATATATTTGTTTGTTTACCTTAGCGCCTGCGACAAATCCGAGGGTTGTAGCAAAAACATCCATTAGGAAGACGCCGATGACTAATAAAATATAATGACCTTTTTTCTCCATTTTAGCGCGTAGGGTGTAGGGATGGATAGTTTGACAACAATTGTATATCACTAAAGAGGCAATTAATAAGGTTGAAGGTGTGTGTGTGTGTGTGTGTATATATATATATATATATATATATATATATATATATATATATATATATATATATGGCGGTTCAGGTGAGAATGCATCTTGGTGAAAGAAATAAGAATAAAATCTAACCTTTGGATCTGATGCATCGTGCGGCTCAGATTGCATCCTGCACTCAGATTTTGAGATAGTGCATTTTTAAAGGATTTTGGTGCATTTCGACATGATGCATTTTCAAATCATTTTGGTGCACTTAATTTTGATGCAATCCTAACCCTTAGATCTCACAATCTAAAACACCAGATTCATTCTTATTTCTTTCATAAGATCACATTCTCACTTGAACCAAAATCTATATATATATATATATATATATAGTGCTCGGGCTTCGCTATTTATTGTATGAGCAATGCTAAGTCACAAAAACAAATTCAAAAATTTTCATAATTTTTCCAATTTTAAAAAAATATAAATAATATACTCCGTAAAGAATTGAAATACAATAAAGACCAAGTCAACGAAAATAAAATGTTGAAATATGAAGAATAATGAGAGTTTGTGAACTTTTCTATTTATTTCTTTGACTAATTAACATGAATCTTAGTTATTGTTTTTCATTTTAATCATTTGAGATTATTTCATTCTTTCAGTGTGTTTATATATACTTTCCTGGTCTACAATTAAGCTTTTTAATTGGGTTTGACACAAACTTTAATACCGAGTAAAAGTGAAATTAGATAGTTAAAAGTAATGTATTTTAAAAAATAGATGGTGAGCCATAAAAAACACTTTCCACGAAAAATGGAACTTTTTTTATTGTAAAAAAATACCGAGCATGGAGTAAAAAAGTTAGGGTTTTCACATTTAGGTCAGGACCGAAAAAACCGACCGAATCAGACCGTTATGTCCAAACCAAACTCAGATCGAATTGATTCCGGGTCGATAATCTTCGGTCTAGAAAATTTAGATGTTCGGGTTTTGATCCGGTCCGGTCCAAACCCGAAATGATTTGGGTCCGCGCCGATTGGACCGAATGGACCTAAAAGACCTAAATACCAAAACTCTACTTTTCAAGTTCCGTATTAACTTTGATGCTCTATTTTAATAAATATCTTAATTTATTTAAATAAAAATGTTTTTGATTAAGTAATTTTTAAAAAAAAAATTCAAAATGAAATTGGCTCAGTTCAAAATTTACATTTTGGTCATATTTTATTATTTTAGAATACTTATGGTTCAAAATTAAAGACGAATTTAAAAATATGGGGCCTTAAAGTTTTAAGAGCATTGTGCGGTTGGCCACTTTGCACAACCTCCGGGCCACTCATGCATGATGGGGAGAGAAAATCGCTTCCTTTCCCGTGATCGTGATGGGCACCACCATCATCACGTGTCCCTCTGCGATCCCGTCCTCATCACGTGATCTACATACACCTCTATCCAGTGATTTGTTGTGATGAAAAAGAGAAAAACTGACGTAACACTGAATGGCGACAATATGGCGACAATATGATAGACGTGATTAAGAACACTACACCTACGGGCCTTAGAGTGACATTCTACGTAAGTAGTTACGTTCATCTTCAAAAGAGGTGAATAATCTTTGTGGAGCAATTATTCTCGGTACAAAGAGGTGAATGATCATTCTTTCCCACTCTTTGTTTAGAAAAGTACCGAGTATTGACTAAACATACTCTTCATGCTATTTTCTTTTGGTTTGAAATAAGTTACATAAATTAGAAATAAGTTGGAAAACATTAAAAGAATTAAAGTGTCAGAAATTCCCTCAATTAAATAATCAACTAAGTAAATATGTAACAAAAACTCTAATTTTGGATAAAAAAAAAATTCACTCCTATTCGTGTTAGATGATATTTTATAAATTTAGATTTATAATATATATTATTGTATATCCATCATATATAAATACATTTTTTAATTCGTTAATGAAAGAAACTGTAAGGAACTGAAAAAAATTAAAAGTTAATTTTTTCAATTCAAAAGAACATGATCTTAGAGGGTGTCATTCAACCACCATTTAACATTTTGAATTAATGCATGCTACGGAGTAATATATAAACTAATGTGAAAGATGTGTTGAATGGAGAGAGGAAGTAAAATGTTTAAACCTTTTAACACCATTCATGATGACAAATAATATCACACTAAATTATAAAAAAATTCTAAACTCTTTTTTAATTTTCTTTTGAACAAGCCAAAATTAAACCTAAGCATAAAAAGTGAATAGTTAAATTGTACTCCCTCCGTTCCACAAAAAATAAGGAAAGTGTAATTTTGGTTGACTTTCCAATTTTGCCCATGATGTGATGGGAAAAAGTAAGATGTGATAATTTGGTTATTAGTGAAAAAGTATGATGTGATAGATAGGATATGAAAAAGTAAGGGTAAAAGTAGTTTTTTAATAGAAAGTGGAAGTGTTTTGTGGAAAGCAAAAAAACGAAAGAGGAAGAGTTTTGTGGAACAGAGGGAGTATGTTTTAAATGTACATCCTGTACTCTTTTGTGGTTGGCATTATTGTTTGACAACACACAACCACATTGATTAAGAGTAGGCTAGATGTCTCTATAGACATTGTAGCATTGTGGTATGTCATCCTACTCTTGTTTGAAGCGACCTGATGTAACAAGGAGTCTGAAGGGATCATCCTATCATGTGGAGAGTTGGCACATGTCAGGTGTCTCTTATGCATGGTACCAAGCGAGCTTAGGAGTTTGTTGGAACACGAGTACATATTGAACTCTGTGTTTTACTCGTCGGGGTAACTCTCCGTGGCGTGCGGTGGCAAGACTCTTTTGTGCTGAATACTAGGGCTAAACGCCACAGCGACGACGTATGTATTAACAACACACAAAGGAACAGAGCTAGAGAGGTTGTTATTTTGAAGAAAAAACACGAGAGATTCAGAAAAAGAGTGAGTAACCAGATTAGTAAGAGATCACGCAACATTCATCGTCCTAGCGTGAGGTTCTATGTTGTGAATTCAGATATGAAGAATCTGTTTACAAAGTATATATATGATTCACAACCTCAAGATTACACACTAATCCAAGAGTTGAGTACTGACACGTCCTAGGAAGAAACCAGAGTGTGGCTGTAACAAGCCAATGAGATATACCACGGTAACCCTCACACTGACTGACCACAGACACTAGACTACTGTTTAAACAGAGACTGTTGTAATAAAAGATGTATTTTGAACTGACACAGACAACTAATGATAGATTACCATTTCTCGAAACTTTAAAAATAGTTTTAAATTAAAGCATAGTAGCTAGACTACTATTCTATAGACAAGAAAAACTCACAGTAATCTGTATTTTTAACTACTGTGTTTCCATAAATAGTAGTTAATCAACCGTCGTCTGATATTATTTTTGGCGTAGTGATGATTGTCGAGATCGATGTGATGGTTTTGAACTATTATTTCAAAAGACATGAATTAATGTTATTTGGATATAATTCAAGGAACGTTTCATCCACAATCCCACTCAAAGTTAAATACAAACGTGTTCAAACAGGTAAAATATTATGATAACAAAAAGGATGGAATCATTATTTAAACTTCATCTTTCAATTTTTTACGTATTGTTGGTAAGAGCATTCAACTTTTCCAAAATAGTTAGAACCTTGGAAAGTCAATATGACGAAAGATGGACGAGATCAACTAGAGATGCAAGTCAAAAGAGAAAAGGAATACTTCAACACAACAAAAAAGGACATTAAGATGTGTGTATTATTATTATTATTGTTATTATTATTTTTTATTTTAGTGATTCAACATAGATCTCAAAAATGTGTATCCACCACCTCACTCAAGTTATATACATACGTGTTCAAAGCAATGTTCTGAAAATCGGACCGGACATCGAACCGGACGAGGGATTGGGTCAAGGGCTAACCGGTTGAACTGGGGTCAACTCGGGTCAACGAACCGGTCAACGTCATTAGCGTCCGACCAATAATTTTACTAGCATAATGATATGTAAACGCAATTCCAAAATATACATATATATGTATACTATAAAAGTAAAAACCTAAGAGAAATTAGCAATTTATTAAAGAAAAATGAAAACCTAAAAATCTAAAATCCAAAAGATAAACACCACCTGATCCTCAACTAAAAAGTAAAAACCTAAAAGAAAATCTAAAAACCTAAAAATTGACAATTAAAAATAGGGGTGTACACCGGTCCAGAACCGGACCGGACCAGACCGGAACTGGAAAAACCGGAAACCCGGAATCCCCTAAAGCATAGGATCGGAAACCGGATCGGTTAGATTCCGGTCCGGACCGGTCCAGACCGGTTTTTTCCGGTCCGGTCCGGGTAAAACCCGGAATTTATTTTTTCTATTTCTTTTTGTCTTTTTGTTTAAACTTGTTTTTCAAATTTGTAGCTTGATTTGAATTGATTTCAACCCTACATTTAATTTTTATATAAATTGGGTGTGTTTCAAGAAATTATATTAATATAAATATTTTTATCAACAATATAATAGGTGTAAAATGATTTTTATACTTCCGTTAGTTTTAAAATTTCAAAAATATTATAAAGTTTTACTTTAAATTACTTTGGTTTTAGCAAGTTTAATTTATACGTCAAAGTATTTAATACTTTAAATCAAAAGATTCTACTTCAATTTTTGGGAAATAATTTTAGTTTTTTTATAATTATGGATATTCTTGGGTAAAGGTCAATGAAATGAATTAAAACATACAAATTACATTTAAAAAATTATACTTCATATTAAAGTAAGAAGAACAAATGAAAATATACAATTGTATTTATAATTATATGTAAACTCTGTATTATAGGTATTAATTTTTTTAAAAAAAATTAGACATTCCGGTCTTACCGGTCCGACCCGGAAACGATCCGGTCTTGGACCGGAATGGACCGGAATTTTACCGGTCCAAAATCTTTAGACCGGAGACCG